TTTGTTACAATTTGTTACCCCTAACCTCGAGATAGCCGCGAGTAATCGGCCCCCGCTTTACTAACGTTAGTTTTAAGCAATTTTGTTGTCCAAACAATGAATATCGGCTCCACAAAGCTACAGAAAATGAGCCTGAAAAAAAACGAATTATTTAAAAAAAAAATGCTACCAAACCGAGCGTCAGTTTTGCCGTGAGATGACAATATGACGTAAATCATTTTAGTAGTTCAGATTACAGTTACTTTTGATTAACCACGCAATGATTGCGAAAGTTTTCAAAATTATTATTGGACCTGTTGAATATTATCTTAACAAAGCTAGCAATATGAACGTTGATGTTTAAAAAAGCTTTCAGTTTATCAGCACTTATGTATGACGGACGGTACTTCCCAAGCAACATTTTAAGTTCATACAACTACTACTTACTAATTCATGCAAAGCTACTATAAATCAATATTCATAAAACCCTGGTGAAGGCTACTTTGCCATTGATGTATCCACCAAAACCTCATTAAGACTAGAATCTGTCTAGTTGGCCCATCCTGGAGAAGGTTCTGAAGGGTATATTTTCGAAGCTCTTCAAGATTGATTTACTGCAAAATGGTTGTACGACGAACGTATTGAGAATCATTTGAAACCCGTATTAAAGCTACAATAAAAGCTATTTGGTAACAATAAAACCTTTTTCCTGAGTCCACTAGAAAAATCACCAATCAATAGAGAAAATTTTCATAATTACCATCCGATCTTAACAACATTATTTAAATATAAACTGATCATATAAAAATCCTATTGAATTACCGAAATTATTAAAATTGTTCTGATAAAGTGGTCTAGTGCCATATTAAATATCATGTGAAATGTACTTGAAACATCGAAAAAACAAAAGTCAGTCCTCGGAAAACGTCGATGTTACATATTATTTTTAATAGAAAAAAAATCTTCAGATTGATAACTAAGCTCAGCCCGCAATGGCTTTTATGAAGAAAACTTGCTGACTGAATTGTTTTTATCTAAAGCCATTTTGCTTGATCCTAACCCGTTCAGATTTATGGCAGCATTAATGGAGGCAAAGCTGCCTGCAAACAGTTAAACGTCAAAGTTTGTTTATCTTTCGATAGTTGCGTTGTGCGATCATTGCAACGAGGTTTTACTCCAGTGTTCTTCCAGGCGATTTTCTCCCGCTGGATTGGAAGCAGTTATTCAGGAAGTATGCGGTACTGTGTTGCAACATTTCGCATATATAATGGAACAGCTGGAAGCTCATTCGTTCCCGTAGAAGATCCCCTTCTTCCGGATCGTTCCCGAAGTGCACCATCAAACGATGCAGTTTAAATTAAGCACGCTTGAATTTTGACCTTTTCACTGAATAACTGAGAGGCATCCAGCAGCTGGATAAGAAATGCTTATACCCGGAAGCTAAGCCCTGGGGTAATGTGAAGTGATTTTCTTCAACGTAGACAGCGCTGAAATAATCGATTCATCAATTGATATTCAACTGGCCTTTGCGCACAAGGAGTAATTGGCTTCAGTCTTTCTGGATATTAAGGGCGCATTTGATTCAGTTTCCATAAACATATTGTCAGATAGTCTGCACAGCAGTGGATTACCCGGTATTTTAAATAATTTCTTACATAATTTGCTGTCAGAAAAACAAATGGCCTTCAATCTAGGTCAACTGACAACTGCTAGAATTAGCTACATGGGCTTGCTCCAAGGTTCATGTTTAAGTCCCTTACTTTATAATTTATGTGTCAAAGATATTGATAACTGCTTAGATCATCGATGCACGCTTCGACAACTTGCAGACGATGCCGTGGTTTCCCTGCGAGGTCCACGAGCGGAAATCTTGCAAAGACCATTGCAAAATTCCCTAGATAATCTGTCCTTCTGGGCCAGAAATTAGGGGATCGAGTTTTCACCGCCAAAATCTGAAATCGTAATGTTTACAAGTAAGCGGTTTCCAGCCCAACTGCGTCTAAATCTTTTGAGCAAGAAAAAGCCCCTAATTATATTGGAACGTATTCAATATCGTTGTTTACGTATTGCCCTAGGCTGTATGCATTCAACACACAATATGAGTCTAGAGGTTCTAGCGGGCGTAAAACCGCTGCAGAACCGTTTCTGGGAGCTCTCATTAAGAGTATTGATCAAATGTAGTGTCAGTAATATCCTTGTGATTGAAAACTTCGAAACAATGCTCGAATTGAGCATCCAGTCTAGATTCGTGCGAATCTATCTTAATTATATGTCATCGGATATTAGCCTTCCTTGCTATAACCCCTCTCGTGTATGCTTTACTAACTACAGTTCCCCCATTGACTATGATCTCTCCATGAAACAGGCTATTCAAGGAGTTCCAGATCAACTTCGACCTATCTCAATTCCCCGCATTTTTGCTGAAAAGTACCAACAAGTCAATTGCAATAGAAGATTTTTCACTGATGGATCCACTGGCTTCGGTGTCTTAAATGAATACTCAACCGCCTTCCGGAAACTTCAGGAGCCTTGTTTCGTTTATGTTGCTGAGTTAGCAGCAATCAACTTCGCATAGGGGATGATTTCCGTCATGCCCACAGACCATTACTTCATCTTCTCGGTCTCAGTTCGATTAAGGCTATTCGGTAGGCACATTTCTTTCAAAGGTAAGGGAGCATATGAGTTTGCTGGTCGAAATATCATAAAGGATTACCTTTGTATGGGTCCCCTCACATTGCTCAATCCCAGGTAATGAGAAGGCAGACGCAAAGGTGGGTGCACAACAAGACGAGATTTATGATAGAAGAAATTCACATGATGAATTTTTTCTCTTGGGTTGTGGTTGCATTCCATTACTCCAAATGTTTCTTCGAGAGCGTGGTTCAAAGGTCTGGATGTAAATCGGGTATTCTTTCACGTGATGTCAAGACTTGTGTCCAACCACTACTCGCTAGATGCACATCTATACAGAATAAATTTCGTTGACAGCAATATATGTAGGTGCAGAACAGGTTATGATGACATCGATCACGCAGTTTGGTATTGCCCGGGTAATGACGCCTCCAGAGCACGAATATTGGATACCCTAGTGACCCGTGGTAGACAACCCTTCCGTGAAGTAAGAGATGTACTGGGAACCCGTGATCTTCCCTACATGTAGGTGATCTACGATTTCCTTTGTTTGTCTGATGTGACCATCCCCTCCTTTCCTCACATTTTCCAGTCATTGTGTCCCTGTCTTATTATCCACCTGTTTCTGTGCTACTTACCCCTGCCCAGCCAGCATTTGATCAACCGTTCGAGAGTAGTATCTGAAGGAGGCTTCAAAAACCTGTTTCCTACCTAGTTCCTTCCGTGAGTAATTGGTACCCAATACTAGATTACTGCTGTTTAAAATGTTAATTCAAAAATTACCGATTTTTGTCTCCGCAAAGTGTCACACACGACTGAGCGTAGTAAATAAACAAACTAGTTAAAAAAAATAATAGTCAATTTAGAAAAATAATAAAAACAAATAAGTTTTTAGGTATGAAATTTAATAACAAATATTTTATAAAAAAGCTTGATTGCCATGGTTCAAATTTCAGATCAATATTTGTTAGTCGTGGTCCAAATATATTATGAATCTATTTAGGTGACTTAGTGATTAAAGGATAGAGGGATTTAATATGTATTTAAATCAGAGATGTTTGAAACTTTCTTCAGTTTGTAAATTACCTATAAATATCGAAAACAAAATCTGTTTCCTGGACAATTTATTTCCGAAACATAATTGAGGAGGTCAAAAGGAAAGGGTGAGAAACATAAATGGAGACAATTTTAAGCTAATATGAGCCATACACACTTATCAACAATTCACTCAACCGGGAAATGTAAGATCTATTGCTGATTTGCATGAAAGTATGCATAATTTGCTATGTTTTGCGACATGAACTGTGGTGGTCGTCGGAAGGATTAAAAAAAAACCTTTAAATTTTTATATCTGTTTATTTTTTGAACGAAATTTTTTTTTCCCCAAATGCATTGCGTATAGACAATTATCTTGTGATCTCAAAAAACCGTTGGTTACATTAAAATAAGGATTTTTCACTACTTAAATTAACTCACCCGCCATCTCCAAGAAAAGCTAGTGAGTAACGCCCATAATCTGAAGTCACACCGTTTGGGTTATAAACGAGTATGATACATTACGTTGTTTTTTATGTGTATCATAGTTAACTGAAATTTAAGCTTGTTTTTTGAACTTTTCATTAGGAGACTGATGATACCCTGAGGCATTTTAATGGTAACGTAATCCATACTGATGAAATATCAGTCTATCATGCGGAAAATCCTAAAATACTTCTTTTCCCATTGTTGATTGATTATCATCCATCCCGAATTGATTTACCATTCATACCCATTTTGAATGATGTTCAATTATTATCCACAATTCAAAAGCCAAATTTAAACAAAATTCTCCGAATGACAAAAGCCGTTGCTCGTCTGTCGTCGAATCCAATCGTTTCCTACTCAGTGCGACCCTCTCAATCAGGGCAGGTTTAATTTTCAGCCAAGTCACCAGATTCCAACATTTCATCAATCAACTTGCCCTTGAGAGCCCTCGCGTGTCAACACGCCTCAAAAAGACACTTGACACGAATGACGAAAAAAAGGAAATCAAGCTTTACCGAGTTCTTCCACAAGTACGCGCCCATCGTCATTACTTCTCGTTTTCATCTTCCATCCCTCCCCTGGGCCTACGCTCATACAGAAATAACCACGTTTTCGATTTTTCCGAAACTTCCGGTCGTTAGTGAATCTCGGTACATACCTCCTATTCACCAGGATGGAAGGACGAGGCCATACACACTCATATTGTTACTACGAGTGTAATCTCGGAAGTCTTGCTATACTTTTTGCCAGATTGGCACATCCCACTCCTGCCATACATAGACATATTGCTGTCTGTGGGTTTACTTACACTTCACTGGAAATCTAAGAAATTCGAAAATTGTACTGCCATGTGCCTAGATACTTACCAGAAAAAAGACAGGAGAGTAGATGCCGAACGCGGCCACAGCTGCCGATATCGAGAGCATCCGCACCGGGGTGAGCTTCAGCGGGGTAAAGTCCAGAAACGGAGGCTTCGGAGTGCGGACGTGGGTTTTCTTCTCTTTTACCTGGATGGTTGCGGAGAGTAAAATAAAACCGAAAAAGACCAAAGCTTTAAATATATTGCATGGAAATTGGGGCGTTCTTGTGATCCGGCTGGAATGGTGGGATTAGTGGGGAAAGTTGAAGATGGAAACGGACCAGAATGGTTTAAGGAAATATTATCATTCGTAAGAAGTTGATCTATGATTTAATGCTCGGATGGTCAGGTTATCCATTTATCGATGTCAAGTTGTGGGCTTTGAAGCGGACTAGTGAGGCGTTCAGTTTAAAAACCGTGACATGTTCTTTGAATTGACGATCCGTGAAATTTCAGACGTTCATATTTCTAAAACAATAGTTTGCGATGAGATGCATTCTTTGAGTATTTATATAACCCGTTACGTGGATAGATCACCTCTACGGAAGCATGTATTTTATATAAAATCACAGTCTTTCTGTAAATAAACTTATATAAAAAATTCTCCAAAATAATACAAATAGTGTTATTTTTCCATTATTTGATGAAATACGTTAATATTGTTTATTTCATTAGGTGAGATGTTTATTTAAAGTTTCTTGACTTTCTCAGCTGATTGAAAACCCAATAAAAAATTGCTGACACCAATAAAATAATCTCTGCGTTCGTCACGAGAATTTCAGGAAAAAATATCAAATTATAGGGTGACAGGTTGACAGGGGGCCTCCCTTAGCTCAGTCGGTAAAGGCGCAGCTACAAAGCAAGACCATGCTGGAGGTGGCTGGGTTCGATTCCCGGTCCGGTCTAGGAATTTTTCGGGTTGGAAAATTTCTCGACTTCCCTGGGCATAGAAGTATGATTGGACTTGCCACACAATTGTAAACCAATGCAAAAATGGTACAGGCATCGAAAGCTCTCAATTAATAACTGTGGAAGTGCATCTAGAACACTAAGTTGAGAGCACGCAATAAGCTAATATGCGATATGCAATAAGCTTGAAATGCGAAGAAGAAGAAGAAGAAGAAGAAGAAGAAGGTTTTTACAGTAATGAAACTTCTTACCATCTTTACCGTTGAATTTCTATTTTACTCCACCTCTTGTCTACTTTACCCCCATTCCCAAAAGAAAATTAAACATGAAATCGTTTGTGGTTTTAAATTAAAAATGTAGGATTTGATATTTCTATGCAAGTTAAACTAACGTTATGTAAAACGAGATTCCCATAATACACTAATTTCCTAAATAAACAACATCAATTTCTTCAGGGTGCCCATTCTACACCCAACCAACACCCCTACTGAGAGTTCTGGCCCATATTACGAGCATCCGGAAATGTTCGGGGCCCACAGGGAAGTGGTTAGATTCTGACTGTGATGATGATGATCATTGGTGACCTCAGCGGGGTGAAGTGCTACAAATGTGCTCTCTCTATTGTGGTTAGTCATGAAACTAACCACTGCACTACTACAATACCGAAAAAAAAACTTTTTGTTATAGTTGGAGATGCTGAGCGACAAATATCAGACTTAAAGTGTTAATTTTATACGATAGATGAGAAGATGAAAGTATAGAGTAGAAAGTGAGCACCGAAATCCCCTGTTGGGGAGGGATGGACTGGATTCCCAGTCCAGTCTAGGGACCTTTCGGGTTGGAAAATTCCCTGGGCATAGAGTATGATTGTACTTGCCAAACAATTATACTAATGCAAAAATGGTACAGGTATCGAAAGCTCTGATTTAATAACTGTGGAAGTGCATCTAGAACACTAAGTTGAGAGCACGTAATAAGCTAATATGCAATAAGCAATAAGCTTAAAATGCCTAGAAGAAGAAGCAGATGAATCTATCTTAAAGTTCTCGAAGTTTCCCTGAAGTTCTTAGCAATTCCCAATCGTTATCTGAACTTCTATGAAGTTTCCAGAGTTTTCTTGCAGTTTTTTTTAACTTCTGTGAAGTCTCGAAGTTTTCTTGATCCCTTTTAACTTCCCTGGAGTAATTTCTGTTTCTCTGAAATTTTCAAAACTTACTGAAGGTTCCTTCTTTTTTCCTGAAGTTAGATCGAAATAATTAATGTAGTCCTTAGAATTTCAATGGAGTTCTCGGAATGTTTCGGAAGTTCATGGAACTGCTCCTAAATTATCGCAACAATTTATTCATTATCCTAATACTCCTAGACTTTCTTGATGTTATTAAAACTGCCCAAAAGATTTATGAACTTGGGTAGGTTCTCTAGACTTCCCTGAATTTCTCAGATTTTTTTTAATTCCCGCAATTTGCCATAATTTTCCTAAAAACTCGTGAAACTTCCCCTAAAAGATTTTATTTTACCTGAACTGTTCGAAAATCCACTGAAGGTTTTTGGTATTTTTTTAAGTTGCCTATATTTTGAAATGTTCCGGAAATTTTCCTGATTCTGTCCTAAAACTTCCCTGAAGACCCTGAAATGTTCCTGTAGTTTTCGGATCATTCCTCAAATTGTTGGAATGTGTCATTTTTCCTCGAAACTCCTTGAAAATTCCTGAAAGTTATCTGAAGTTAATGGGACTGCTCGGAACCCAACAAATATTGAATGCTTAAAAAGAGCTTATTCAGGCAAAAATTCGCATCATCAGCAAAAAAAAAAAAAAAAAAACTGTCTTATTCAGCTATTAATCATCGCAAATTGTTTGTTAAAAAGTTCTCTGTACATCCTCGAAGTACATGAAACTTATCTGCATATAATGATACTACCTTAAAATCTCTAATCTGAACTTTCTTGATGATTTGGGAACATCTTAAAAGTTCTCGCTATTTTCTTGAAATTAATTGAACTGTTTTGAAGTTCTTTGATCTTCTCTGAAATTCCTGCATTTTATTAAAGTTCTCTAAGCTACCATGAAAATCACGAAGCTTCCCTTAAAATGTTCTCACTATTTTCTTATGTTCATATCAGTGTCTGTTTTTATTATTTACCATCACACGCAAGGAGTAGCGCATCAACCCAGTGTAGATGAATTGCGTTCGTTTTGAATTCTTCGCTGTGAAGTACGAGTGAAACGAACAAATGAGTTCATTATACATCAACGAATACGCGTTTGTTGATATTCACCAATGCTTGATTATCCAACCCAAAATTTTCAAAATCAGAGGCTATCATCAAAAGCAAAATAATCAAATTCATTGTGGGCATGGATTATTTTGAATATTGTCGATTCCAGAGCCTAAAACCTCGATATTATCAGAAATTCAGCATAAGGCAATAATTTTCTATGAATATGTGTATAAAAACCAACACAACACGTTCTACAGCGCTGTATTTGTATAATATGAACATAATCATTTTGCATTTGATCCTCAAAATCATCCCCACCAAGATGAATATGAATATTGATATTGACAACAACACAGGCGATAATAAACTTCCAGCCTCGAATGAACAAAAACAAATGTTGACTTCGATACTCAGAGGTTGCCTTGATCAAGAGAATGTTTTTATGTCAAAATTCAAATTCATGCAGGTAGTTGGTCTATCTGTTAAGGTTGTCTTCATGTTCAGCTATGTTGAGTGTATAAGGAATGATTTTTATCAGCACTGGTTCATATAACTTCCCTAACGAGTCCGAAACTTTCTTTAAACTCCTTGGAACCTTGTAGAAGTTTCAGAATATACCGGAATTCTTCAGAATAAATGGAATTGTTCCAAAAACATCTAAACATTCCTGAAGTATACTGGTCTTCAGTAAAGTTTCCAAAATGTTACTGATCTTTTCTTAAGTTCTCTGAAGTTTTTTGGACATTTCTGAAATTCGTGGAACTTCATCAGGATTCTCGAAATTTTTCAGAAACCATTGGATATGTCTTGAATTCAGTTGAACCTACCCTTACTGTTGTGGACTTTCATAAAGTATTTGGAATTTGCTTGAAATCATTGGAACCTCCCTTAACATCTCTGAAACTCTTTGAAGATCGATCTCTAGACCTAGGCTCTCTGAACTAGTTGGAACTTCTTTAAAGCATGAGCAAAAACAAAAGTTCTCTCTGCTTATCTGAAGTTCTCTTGACGTCTCTAAAATTTTGTGGATATCCCTGAAGTTATTTAAACTTCATTAAAGTGCCTGCAGTTTTCCTGAAGCTAAAGGGGCCACCTTGAAGTTCCCAAATGTTCCAGAAGTTATCGGAGCTTCACTTATATTCATGCAGTTTGTTTATGAAACTTCCCTAAAATTCAATTATCGGAATTTTTCTCGGTATTCTCCCGAAATTGCTGCAATTGCCCTGAAATTAATGGAACTGCCCTAAAGATCTCTAAACTCACCTGAAGTTCTAAGGACCTCCGTGAATTTCTGGGATCTTCTATGATGTTTTCGAAATTTTTCATATGTTTACTAAACCTTCCTCAAGTTCTTTGAAATATCCTTAAATTTTTGGAACATATTGAAGAATCTTTTAAATTTGTCAAACCTCTTAACGGATTCCCTTTATGAAGAGCTTTGAGTGTGTTGGTTTATTTCATTTAAATTCCGTTATATTTGCTTATCTTTTGACAGATACGCGTATTTCGTGTACTACTTGCAGACTTCATCAGTGCCAAGTACTCACCAAGTGGTGTTGAGTACTTGGCACTAATGAAGTCTGAAAGTAGTAGACGCAATACGCGTATCTGTCAAATGATAAGCAATTATAACGGAATTTAAAGGAAATAAACCAACACACTCAAAGCTTTACATATTGAAGGTTTCAGCTATTTTCCTGAAATTATTGGAACCATCCTAAAGTTCTCGAAATTTTCCTAATGTTCTCGAAACTTCCCTGAAGTTCCCTAAGTTTTCTTAATATTCATGGAAGTGCCCCAAGGTTTATTGAAAAGTTTTTGCAGTTTTCCTGAAGTTAAAAAAAGTCTTTCCCGAAATCTTTGGGACTTTCATGAAGCTATAGGATTTTCTCGGAAGTTTTTTTGAAATATCATTAAATATTTGGAACTTGTTATAGGTTCTCGCTATTTTCCTTAAAACATTGGAACTGTCCTAAAGTTTTTGAAATTTTCCTAAAATTCCTGAAACTCCCCTGAAGT